CTTTAACTACTTTTGGTGCTAGGTAGTAGTGAATATAGTTTTGTTCATCTTCATATTTAACAATAATTGGAAAGTTATTTTCTAAACAAATTTGTATATAAGTTGATAAAGAAGATGCTTTATAAATATCAATAAAAATTTAAGTAAAAATAAATCATCTATATCATTTCCTGCTTTAATATTGATCTCATCATCAAATCTACTTGTTCTTTTATTCAAAGTACTAATATATTTATTATTAAAATTACTAGTTGAAGTAAATTTAACTATTTCAATATTTCATTTTACAATTATTCTTATTGTTTTATTTACATTATTTGGTTTAAGAATATTTTCTTTAATTCAACAAAAAGTATATCAATGATCACACTATGGTTAGTAGGTAAAATACTGATTCTTTCCTGGTTGATATTTAGTAATTAAATTTCATATTCAGTTTTACTAATATCATCAAAACCTCTGTATAAAACACTTAGAAAATCTGGATTTCCTAGTCTAAGTGTAAGAGTATTATTATTATTTACACAACTGAGTATCTTGTTTAGGTAATCAAGATTTATACCAATAATTTCATTTTTGTCATAAACATATTTTTTGAAACTTTCTTTATTAAGATAAACAGAGATAAGTGCAATATGTGATGAATTCATGCTTGAAAAGTTAATACCAGATTCTGTAAACTTGATGTTAATATCAGTGACAAGTTCTCTTGTTGCTTTAATGACATGTTTAAACAATGATGTTTTAGCAAAAGTTGCTTCAAACATTTTTATAAGTTAACTTAAATTTAGAATTGCTTTATTTTAGTTATTTATAATTATTTTATTATATATAAATTTGTAAAGATACAGTTAAATAAAAAAAGAAATAATTGACATCTATACACTACAGACCAAATATAGTTAATAAGACTATTTAATAGTTAACTTTAACATTTAATTTAATATTAACAAATACATTAACATCAGTTCCAAAGTTAAAGTTAACTATCAACTAATCTAACTACTCTGGTCTGGCAGTGTATAGGTATCAATCTACAATTTTAACTATTGATAACTACAATTAGTTTTGAGATGACCAAATTTATTATATTTCCAACATTGTACATCTGAACAGTTTTATTTGATATATCTAGACTTCTTATAGTTGTAGCAGTATTTTGTTTTTTTTGAGATATATGGTTTTGCATTATTATGAATCTTATTATAATGCTCACATAGTTTTTTTCTTAAATCGATAAACTTTGATATAGTTATTATTGCATTTGGCTTAGTAGGATGTGGTTTTACTTCAAAGAATACAATCTTAAGATCACTGTTAATGACTCCTTGGCATATTTTTAAGTGTTCTTGAAATGTATTTTCATTATACTTATCACAAAAAAATGAACATTTAGCCTAGGTTTTGACTTCATTATTATCTTTGAATCTTGTTGGATATGCTAATGCACATCAAAATACACATCTGCAAAACTTTACAAATGATTTACAAGATACATAACATGTGTGTGGACCAACTTGCAAATATTGTAAGCATATTCCATAATACCAATCAAATTTAATATATTCTTAATTGAAATAATGATTATTGCATCTTTGGTAGAAATATCTGGGTTTAATGATATCATTTTGTATAAGATAGTTTTTTATTAGAGTGAACTTTCTTGGTAGAGTTTCTTGGTAAATAGAATTACTTGAATAGAAACTTTTACTTCTTGAAGTACTTTTGTATTTTTTTTTACATATTATTCGAAATAAATCAAAAGCATCTTTTAATGATATGCTTCTTAAAGTTTATAGAGATCGATATTTACAAAAAATATTTTTTATTGCTTTAGCTGATGAAAGTAAATATTTATTTATAAAAACCAAAACTAGTACAAAAATTTAAGAAAGAAAATCTGATAACATATTTATTTATGTAATACATATTTTTTATAAAAATAATATATTATCTAAAACTGTATTTGATTTTCTTATTATTTAATATTTTTCTTACAAGATTTGAATTGCTAAG